CTTTGTTGAGAGGCTATGTAAGCCCCAGTTCCTGGACTCTTTTCAGTTACTTATCACTGTTTCTCCCCTGTGCGTGTGTGCTACATGTGTTAATCAACTGTTGCCTGTTAATTTGTCTTTGTCATTTTGATTTCTAGGGCCCTGCCTCCAGAACCTAGGAGGGTAGAGGAAACTACCTCTCCTACAGTACAGCCACTTTTGAAAAGAGTTGGCAATTTCTTCAGAGACCAAACAAACACCTGCCATACAACCCAGGCATTCCACCCCTGGGTATTTACCCACGAGAAATAAAAGCGTGTTTCATCACAAAGACTTGTATACCTATGTTCACAGTGGCTTTATTGCTAATAGTCCCAAACTGGAAACAACCCATATATGTCCATCAGCAGGTGAATGGAGAAACAACTGTGGTATAAACATACACTGGATTCCCAGCAGTGAAAAGGAAGAACCATTGTTCCATGCAACAAGACACAGGAATCTCAAAATAATAATACTGAGCAATGGAAGCCAGATTAAAAGAAAAAACTTCTTACTGCCTCATTACATTTATGTAAAATTATATATAAAACGAATACAGGATTTTACAAAATTCGGGGAAATGCAAGCTAATCTCATCAGATCAGTGGTTACCTAGTTGGAGGGGACATTACAAAGATTACAGAGGACCATGAGGTCGGGCTCAGTGCTCAGCATGGAGTCGGCTTGAGATTCTCTCTCCTTCAGCTCCCCCACCCCCGCTCATGTGCGTGTGCACACAAACACACACACACTCAATCTCTCTCTCTCTCAATAAATAACATCTTTAAAAACAAAACAAAACAACAAAAAACAAAGGACTGTGAGGAAACTTCTGGGAGTAGTGAATACAGTCATGATCTTGATTGTGGGGATGGCTTCACAGGTATACTTACGTCAAAACTCATCAAATTAAGGGGCACCTGGGTGGCTCAGTCGGCTGGGCGTCTGCCTTCGGCTCGGGTCATGATCCTGGGGTCCTGGGATCGAGTCCCGCATCAGGCTCCCTGCTCGGTGAGGAGCCTGCTTCTCCCTCTGTCTGCTGCTCCCCCTGCTTGTGCTCTCTCTCACACACACACACACACACTCTTTCTCTCAAATAAATAAAATCTTAAAAAAAAAAAACTCGGGCGCCTGGGTGGCTCAGTTGGTTAAGCGACTGCCTTCGGCTCGGGTCATGATCCTGGAGTTCCGGGATCGAGTCCCGCATCAGGCTTCCTGCTCAGCGGGGAGTCTGCTTCTCCCTCTGACCCTCTTCCCTCTTGTGCTATCTCTCATTCTCTCTCTCTCAAATAAATAAACAAAATCTTAAAAAAAAAAACTCATCAAATTATATACTTTAAGTATGTAGGGTTTGTGTCAATTATATCTCAATAACAACAAAAAAATAAAATTGTAAAACAGACTGAGCCCAGCTTTCCTAAAGTTTCTCCTGCTCACCTTATAAGCCCCTCCCTGAGCTTCCTGTGCCCCAGCCGCCCTCCATTCCAACCGTGAGCTCCATGAAGGCAGTGGCAGTGAGGACTGCACGGGATCCACTCTCTAGGCCCAGAGCCCAGCATATGGCGGGCAAGCACAACAGATTTAACCAATGAGGCTTAGCCGGGTTGAACTCCCCACCTGCAGTCACATAGCTCCCTGGGACTTGAGGCCAGGTGTATCGGTCTCTTGTAGGGGAGAAAAACGTTTCCTTTCTTTCCTTCTAGGTTCTTAGGCTGATTTAATAATTACATGGACATAAAACAGATTAACTGGAGAAAAACAAATTTAATTTTGTACACATGAGAGCCTATAAAAATATGGGACTCAAAGAAATGACCAAATCGGGCGCCTGGGCGGCACAGTCAGTTGAGTGTCCGGCTCTTGGTTTCGGGTCAGGTCATGGTCTCGGGGTCATGGGCTCGAGCCCCACATTGGGCTCTGTGCACACGTAGCATGGAGTTGGCTTGGGACTCTCTCTCCCTCTGCCTCTCCCCCCGCCCCCCACTCTCATGCTCATGCTCTCTCTCTAAAATAAATAAATATATCTTTAAAAAGAGGGGGGGAACAGAAATGACCAAATCAGGCAGCTTTTATAGCTTTCAGACAAAGAAACAATAAATTTGTGAACAATTGACAAGCCAAGGAAGTCCGGGTTTGGAGTAGTTACTTGGGGAAAGAACAAGCTTTATTTATGCAGTCTTCTCTGCCTCGGATGCCCTATCTCTGGCGATAAGGATGCCTTCTACCTTCCTGGTACAGCGAGGGCACCTTCCACGTGGGAGACTTATTTCCTGTTTTCAGGGGGGACAAAGGAGATTCAGAGTGTCCTTGGCACTGGCTGTTTCTTAAATAACTTTAACTCAAAATAATCAATATGCCAAAGTGGCATGTTTTGGGGTGGCATATTTTGCTCTCCTTCACCTTCAAGCACACTCAAGTTCTATAGCAAGCCGCTGTCTGGAGACCCTGGGCCCGCGGCAGTGAAGGTGGGTAGAAAGAGCAACATCTTTCTCAGGCACTGTCCAGCTTCCGTTTGCCCAGATCCAGTGACTGAAGACTGGGGACCAGACTAGGCAGCCATCTGGACTCTGGAGAGTTCAGGCTGTGAGGACAGCCTGGCCAATATGGAGCCTGACTCCAGCTCCAAGACCTGGTTCAATCTGGTTCAAGAGGATCAAGGCACTTCTAGGTGATATAGACGGGTTAAAGCAATGAATTCTAGAAGAGATTGCAAGTCCAGGATCCATGACTTACCACACGTGTGCACGTCAACTCTCTAAACTTTATTTCCTCATATGACAAATCGATAAGTAATAACAGCATCAGCTCCAGGGGATGTGGTCAGGATTAAACTGGTTTAACATATGTAAGAGGCTCAGAATGGGGCCCAGGGAAGAGGAAGCCTTCACTAAGCATTCCTCCTTCTGTTTGGTTAGAGAGTGGCATCCAGTTCCCCTTTCAGGATTCCGCCAGAGCCTTTTTCCTACCTAGAAACTTCTGGATGGGTCACTAAAATCTCACAAACCTTGCTCTCATTTGGGAGTTCAGAACCTCAGGGCCCTTGGGGGCACCTGGGTGGCTCAGTCGGTTAAGCATCCAACTCTTGATTTCAGCTCAGGTCATGAGCTCAGGGTCCCGCGTGGGGCTCCATGCTCAGCTCCAATCTCAGCTCCGCCTGAGATTCTCCCTCTCCCTCTTCCTCCACCCCTACCTGCTGCTAGCTCTCTCAACAAACAAACAAACAAACAAACAAAACCCCACCAGAACCTCAGGGTCCTCATCTTAATTTTTTTCTCAATAAGTAAACTTCCTTGAAATAATTTCAAATGTCCAGAAAAGTTGCAGGGATAGTACATGGAATTCCTCACCTGGATTTACCAGGTGCTAACATTTTGTCACATTGGTTTTATCATTCACTCTCTCTCTCTCTCTCTCTCTCTCTCTCGATTACAGATACACACACTCTCTCTCTTTTATATACATATATAAATATATTTCTGGTTTATTAGAGAGTGAGTTGCAGACATCATACCCCTTTGCCCCCAAATTCTTTAGCATGGATTATGCCAGAGTACAGTCTCTTGTAACCACAATTATAAACATCAGGGACCCTAACTTCAGCACAAATACATTATAAAAAGCTTACATTCAAAGTCATCAATTGCCCCCCAACTGTTCATCCCACTGTCTGGGTTCCAGTCCAGACCCCGCATTGCGTTGAGCCGCCCCGCTGCTCTGCTGTCCACAGCCCCCGCGCCCCTGTAGAGAGCAAGATGGAGTCACTCATGTCCAGCAGGTGCCTGTGTCTAGCAGTGACGCAAGCTGTGAAGGGTACGGCAGCTAAGAGATATCCTGAGACCAGATCAGCTGACACCCCAGAACTGGTAACAGGCAGAAGTACAGTGGGTCTGCAGGGGTCCGGGACTGCTGAAATCCCTCTAAAAAGGGAGGAGTTTGGCAGCACACGGTCAGACCCCTCAGACATGACCCCTCTCTGCCTGACCACTTAAAAAAAGCAGCTGCCCCCAAAGGTTCTGCCGGATTGAGCTCCGCTGCTTGAACATCACCCGCAGCAGGTGCCCAGGACTGACCCAGGCGCCACCCAGGTCTTATCTCCCCTGTGTGCCCACAGACTGACCTCAGGTTTGGTTCATTAACTTCCTACCCACTCTGTTATCTTGGTGACTGTGTGTCTTGTCTTGTGTTCTGCTTTGTGTGCCAGTAAGAACCCAAGTCAATCACGTCTCCAAATGCCACTGAGTTTGGAATCCTGAACCTGCTTTATAATGACGTTAATCTTGCTCAATGACTGAATAAAGCTGACTTCGTAGAAGGACACAACTCCTGTCTTTCCTAGCGTGCTGGTGACAACGAGCTTGTGGCTGGGAAGACAGGAAGGGGCTGCTTTTTGCCCTGGACCCCCTGTTTGAGTAGACCCCCGCCTCCAGGTGGGATCACACGCCCAGCTCGCTGGGCTGCCGGGTTTGCAGAGCCGGCCCTCCGAGGCGCTGAGCAGGTCGGGGTCCCTAACGTGAGGCTGGGGAGGCCGGCGAGGACCCGCGGAGCAGGTGGCAGGGGTGGCGGGGTGGCGGGGTGGCGGGGCAAGGACGCCGGCTCCGGGGGGACGCGGCCGCCTGCGGGCCCCGCGGGCCCCGGGGAGTCGGCGCCTCCGCCGCCGCGGCGGCCCGGATTTCTCCCCAGGGGAGGGAGCCGAGCATCTGAACCGTGACTCAGCGAGAGCGGTCCTCGGACCGTGACTCAGCGAAAACAGACCTCGGGACCGTGACTCTGCGAAAACAGACCAGCGATCGGGACTCCGCGCCGAGTCCGCCGGCGTGACTCAGCAGGAAAGGGCGGCAGGGGTGCGGGGGAGTCGGTTCCTCCGCGGGAGGCCGTCAGCGCCCCGACCCCTGCCCCCGGACCCCCGCTGAGCTTAGCAGCCGCCAGCGCCCGCGGGGCCGGGCCTCGGGGAGTGCGGGAGTGGCAGGTACGCGGGCTACCTGAGCAGGTGACCTGGAGCAGGTAACTCGGCCCCTCCCAGCGTCGTGGGCAGCGTGGGGACGGCTGCGGCGGCCTGGGAGGGTCCTCGGCCCCACTGAGTGACCCCACCATTTCCTTCTGCCCAGCTCAGCCAACTCTTGGCTGCCTCAGTGTCCCCGTCTTCAAACTGAGGGGCAGAGAGAAGAAGCTCCCTTCACTGGAAGGCATTCCGTGGGTGTATGTTTATACTTTAAATAATCCATTTTTATCCCCACTGTACTGCCCTGAGGTCTATGATCCCCAACCTGCAGACCACCGTTGTTAACGTTCTAGTGTATTTTTTAGGATTAAAAAAATAATCCACTCTATCATGCCCACAAAAGAGTATATTCTACAGTATGATTCTGTACAAGGAACAATAACAGGAACATAGCTTATGAAGTAGCTTTTTCTCTTTTTTCTATGCAAATTCTATATGATTGTGATCCTAATGTCTATGGTATACCTTTGTCTTCCTTTTCCTTCATTAACACAACTGTTTTCCCAAATTGTAACAAGGCCCTTGTAAGCATTATCTCAAAGGCCTTGCAAAAATCCATTCAGGAGACATTCATTCATTCAACACAGTATCCCGCCCCAGTGCCTGGGGCCTACTGTTAAACCTTTGGGTTGCTTCCTATTTATTTTTTTCCTATTGAAGGAGAAAGATAAGGACTATTTAAAACATTCTCAGTGGCTTTCACATACTAGGGGAAGGGCGTTTTTCATATCAGAGAATTGTCTTTATTTTTAAACATACGTTGCTGGCTTTCCCCTGCTCCCCAAGATCTGGATGGAAAGGTTAAGAACAAAGGAGGAAGAAGGGTGGGCTGTGAGGGATGTCTGAGACTAGGGCCTTCAACAGATGCTGGGGGCACCTGGGTGGCTCAGATGGTTGAGCATCTGCCTTCGGCTCAGGTCATGATCCCAGGGTGCTGGGATCGAGTCCCGCATCGGGCTCCCTGCTCAGCGGGAAGTCTGCTTCTCCCTCTGCTTCTCTCCGTCTCTCTCTCTCTCTGTCTCTCATGAATAAATAAATAAAATATTAAAAAAAAAAAAAACAGATGCTGGAAAGCAGCAGGTGAACTGACTTCTCCCTGAGGCTTACCTAGGGCTCACCATACTTCAGGGGGCCACAGAAATGTTTTAATTTTAATTTCTTTTAAAATCAGAAGAGGGGCGCCTGGGTGGCTCAGTCATTGGGTGCCTGCCTTCGGCGCAGGTCATGATCCCAGGGTCCTGGGATCGAGCCCCGCATCGGGCTCCCTGCTCCGCGGGAAGCCTGCTTCTCCCTCTCCCACTCCCCCTGCTTGTGTTCCTGCTCTCGCTCTCTCTCTCTCTGTCAAATAAATAAATAAATAAAATCTTAAATAAAATAAAATCAGAAGAAAACAGGGGCGCCTGAACGGTTCGGTCAGTGCCTGTCAGAAGCCTGACTCTTGGTTTCCGCTCAGGTCATGATCTCAGTGTCCTGGGATTGAGCCCCAAGTCGGGCTCCCTGCTCAGCAGGGAGTCTGCTTCTCCTTCAGCTTCTCGCTCTCCCCCTGTGTGCACGCGCCTCTCTCTCAAATAAATAAATAAAATATTTTAAAAAAATAATAAAATCAGAAGAAAACAAAAGATACAATAATAATAAATATAAAATAATGAATCCAGTCGAGAGTGTATTCATCTCTATACTACTGCAGTCCTAAAATGCTATTTTTAATTTTAGTTATTTAGTTATTTATTTTTTAAATGGAGGAGAGGGTCCTCAAAGACAAAGGTGCCTTGGGCCCATGAAAGTCGGAATGCATCCTTGCTGGTAAGCTGGGGTCTAGGATGAGGAAGTGAGCAGTAAGAAATTGCCAGGGGTGAGAAATGGCCCGTGGGCTTGCCGGCAGAGGTAGGCTGATGCTAGACTCCTAGTAGCTGCCTGGGTGGTGCGCCTGGCAGTGGTCCTTCACTGCAAACCCTCAGTCTAATCTACCGTTCACAAGGGCTCCAGGGGGGTTCTTTGCAGGAATGAAGGCATAGGCCCCCAGGGAAGAGATGGAGGAGGGGTCTGAAACTGGCCAGGGGAACAAGGGGGGCTTGCAGGACATTGAGCTCCCTGGAGGGTGGGTGGGGCTGGGACCTTGGCGTTTAATTTTCCTTTTCCTTTTTCCTAATTAAAGGGAACACCAAGAACTTGGGGGTACCATGGAAGCACACACTGGGTTACAAATCGTTGTAAAGAACAGCAAAAGGAACATCTTCAGGCGAAGTGTTTCCTGCATTTTTGATTATGGGTTTAGATGGAAAACCAAGAGCAGAATTACTGACTGGGCCAAGCATAGAACTAACTAATTTTAAGGCTTTTGGAGTCTTGGGGCACCTGGTTGGCTCAGACAGTGGGGCATGTGACTCTTGATCTCGGGGTTGTGAGTTTGAGCCCCACGTTAGGGGTAGAGATTACTTATAAATAAAATCTTTGAAAAAAAGACTTTAAAAAGATTTATTTATTTATTTGAGGGGGGACAGAGAGTGTGGGGGGAGGGCCAGAGGGAGGGGGAGAGAGAGAGAGAGAGAGAGAGAGAAGCAGACTCCCCACTGAGCATGAAGCCTGAGGCAGGGCTCGATCCCAGGACCCTGAGATCATGACCTGAGCCGAAATCAAGAGTCAAATGCTCAGCCGACTGAGCCACCCAGGCACCGCCTCCCCCCAAAAAGGCTTTTAGAATCTTTTGCCTAATTATAGGTAAAAGTAAATGATTACTTTTTGTAACTTTATTTCTCATGTTTCTATAGTAAATATGACTTTTGCCACTGGGGCTCAGAGTGGGGGCAGTTTGCTTTTGTTTGAGTGACAGCCGGGAGGAAGGACCACCCCAGCACTCTGCAGGATGGTGTGCTGTTTGGCTGCAAGTGAAGGCACTGAGGGGTCTGGGACTCACCCCCTAAGGTAGGAAGAACGGGCACTGGGGCTTCAGGAAGAGGCCCTTTACCTTCTACCCAGGGCTGGGAGGAGTCCTATCACAGGTTGGTTGGCATGACTTTGCCCCTGAGCAGCTGACTGGGCAGTTGGGTGCCCGTGGTGTGTGTGGGGGGGGGTGGGGAGGGGGGGAGGAGGGTGGTGGGGAGAGGTGGCAGGAGTGGATGAGAAGGTTGGTGGTGGTCGAAGGCGAAGGAAACGCGCTCTCTCTCTGTCTCTCTCCTGGCAGGTGCCTGCAGCAGCCCCCTCCTGCCCGGAGCTCAGCTTCAGTGCTCTGATTTCCTGAAAAGCCCTCCTCATGCCCCTGTGGAGTTTGGGGTGAAGCTCCAGGGAGCCTGAGGGTCTGTTATAGGCAGAACTGTGTCCCCAAATTCACCTGTAGAAGCCCTAACCCCCAGTACCTTCCAACGTGATTGTCTTTGGAGATGAGCCTTTACAGAGGGGATGAAGTTAAAACCATGCTCTTCGGATGGGCCCCGATGCGGTCGAACGGGTGTCCTTCTAGAAGAAAGACACGTGGGCGCATGCACGGAGGGAGAACCTGTGAGGACACACCAGGAAAGCTGTTGGCAAGCCAAGGAGAGGCCTCGGAAGAAACCACACCTGCTGACGTCTAGACCTTCGGCCTTCAGAAGTGTGAGAAGATCAGCTTGTGATTGTTTGAGCCACCCAGTCTGTGGCGTGGCGTCACGGCCCGTGGCTGGCACACTGACACCGGGCCCGAGACTCAAGACCGGAAGGGGCCCCGGAAGAGCAGGCTCGTTCAGCTCTCCTTCCTCTCCTCTCCTCTCTCCCTTTTTATTTTGAAAAAATGCCAGACCTACTAAAAAGCTGACACAAATAGCACACTGCACAGCAGTACGCCCTTCCCTTGGGTCCCACCTTGTCGGGAATTGGCTGCTTTTGTGTCTCTCTCTCCTTTTCTCTTCTTTTATTATTTTTCCAGAACCATCTGCGAGTACGTTGTGGACATCCTGCCACTTCACCTGTAGGAGCAAGGACACACATCTGCATTGTTATCATCATAGTAAAGACAATGCTGACACCCTAACGTCCTTCACTGTCAGCCCACACTCACACTTTCCCAGGGAACCCCCAAAACAGTCCTTGGGGAGGACCCCCAGAATCTAGTCAAGGTTCATGCCCTCCTCTTTTGCTGTCGTGTGTTAGGTCTCTCGTGGCATTGACTCTGGAAGAATTGTTTGGAGGAGACAGGTCAGTTGCCTTGAAAATGTGCCATGTTTTGGATTTGTCTTTTTCCCTCATGGTTAGATTCTGGAGGAACGTTCCTGGACAGAGTACTATATGGTCATGTTGCGTCTCCTCCTCGGGTAGAACCAAGGAAACTGAGACCCAGCTAGTCAGTGGCGGAGTTTAGATGCATTTCAGTACCAGATTATATTTTTAAAGATTTTATTCATTTATTTGAGAGAGAGAGAGAGCAAGCGGGGTGGGGAGGGGCACACGGAGAGGGAGAAATAGACTCCCTGCTGAGCAGGGAGCCCAAATGACACAGGGCTCAATCCCAGGACCCTGAGATCATGACCCCAGCGGAGGGCAGACTCAACGGACTGAGCCACCCAGGCGCCCTTCAGTACCAGATTTTTTATTTGCCTTTATCAAGCCTGTGACTGATTGTGTTGAACAGGAAAAGTGCCTTTGTGTCAAGTGGGGGGTGTTCATTAAACAAAGGAAAACAGAATCTATTAATATAAGCAATGCTCTCTTCCTTGTAAAGCCTGGTGGTTAAACACACACGTAGGACACAGCTTTGAATCTCATTTGTAATAAGCCATGTGACCTGAGTTAAGTCTTTTAACGTCTCTGGGCCTCGGTTTTCTTATCTGTAACATGGGGATAATAATGGTACCTACCTCCCAGGCTTGTGTGACATGAAATTATCCATGTCAAATGCTTAGCGTGGTGCCTGGCTTGTAATTAATTGCCCAATAAAAAGTAATTATTCTCATGGATGTGTTTTTATAATTACAATTATTGACAAATAAAAGTGCGCCGGCCTTATCACTTCCGTGCTTCCCCACTCCCTCAAGCGAGTCAGCAGGAACAAGGTAGAGGCCGGTAAAAGTGGGCAGGCCATAGCTTGAACTTGAGGGAGCCCCCGCCAGGAGGAAGGACGTGGCCTGAAGCCTGAGTGTCCCAGGATTCTCCGCGGGGCACAGGACTCTGGGCGGCACACTGTGGACCCTGTGAGTGGTGTCTGAGGAGCAGCCTCTTTCCCCAGAGCCCTTGGGGGGGTGTCATTCTCCATGTACCCCTGGTAAAGGATGGGGTTGCACTTCCTGCCTCCCCTGGGGGAGGAGGACTTATGTCAAATTTCAGGCCTGAGCATCCTGTGGCCAGTGTGAGACCCTGCACGGCTCTTGTTCTCTGGCTTGGAACAGGCCATTCGGATGATGGCTTCTCCCCCTGTCTGGGTCCCCAGGTGCCTCTCCCGGCCAGCCCGCCATGGACACGCGTGTGCACAGAAAACCACCCTTTCCTGGGGTGTTGTGTCCAGCACGACTACAGTCAGCAGCCCCGTCTTGTATGTTTGAAAGTCGCTAAGAGAGCAGATCTTAACAATTCTCATCACAGGGACACCTGGGTGGCTCAGTGGTTAAGCGTCTGCCTTCGGCTCAGGTCATGATCCCAGGGTCCTGGGGTCGAGCCCCGCATTGGGGCTCCCTGCTCAGCGGGAAGCCTGCTTCTCCCTCTCCCTCTGCCTGCCACTCCCCCTGCTTGTGCTTGCTCTCTCTCTCTCTCTCTCTGAAAAATAAATAAAATCTTTAAAAAAAATTCTCAACACAAGAAATAAAAAAGATAACTGTGAGGTGATGAACGTTAACTACATTTGTGGTGATCATTTCGCAAGGTATGCATATATGAAATCATCGCGTCGTGCCCCTTAAAACTAGTATAAAGTTCTAGATTAATTACATCTCAATAAAACTGGGAGGGAAAAAAAAAGAAACGCTTTGTTATTGGAGCAGTAGAGGGGGGAGGCTTGTTTATGACCTCAGGGTCACCCAGCCCACCCGCCTGCGGCCCCTCAGCCACGCTGCTCCCTTCCCAGCTTCCCCCGTTCCCTTCCAAGGGCTGCCTCAACTCCCCCTCCTCTCTCGGCAGCTGCACCAGCCCCTCGCTCCTCCCCCGCATGCCTCTCACCTTGCCCACCTGGCCACCCAACAGTGCGCCTGGTGCTTCCAAACCCACCTGCGAGGGGCCTGGGTTCTGCCCGCGGCAGCGGGACCCCCCTCCCCCATTTTACAGACGAAGAACCAGGGCCCACAGAGCGGACAGGGAGAGACGGGGCCAGGATTAGACCAGCGGAGACAGGATGGTGGCGAGGGATGAAGCCCGTGGCTCACTGTGTGTCTCCCCCCTGCCCCCCCCCCGGAGGGGAGCGGGTCTGTGGCTGACCGGGGTCCCCCCCGGCCCCCCGGCCTGCCCGGCCCGCTCCTTTGGTTTCCCAGAGAGCCACACGGGTGAGCCCACCTTGCCGCTCATGGCAGGGCTCCTTCAGAGGTTCTCTGGAGGATTGGAGTGGGTGCTGGGTGGCCCCCCGAGAGTCCAGACCTTTTTGGTCCCCGATGAGTTACTGGGAAAGTCCCTCACCCTCTGGGCCACCTCCAGGTCCTCTGTCAGGAGGGCCGCGCAGGAGGCCTCCAGGGGCTGGACGGGCAGCGTGAGTGAGGGAAGCCGGTTGGGGCCCACATGCCCCAAGGCAGGGGCAGTTGGAACTCAACTCCAGCCAACTCTTGGCCCTGTGAGACATCCCCTTTTCTTTTTTCTTTTTTAAAAAGAGAAATGAGAAATATCACATTGGTTTTCAAACACTGGCAATAAACTCCATTAAAAAAATAACACCACTCCAGGACTTGACATAGCCCTCCAGCGGCCAGTCTGAGGCTTCTGGGGTTTGGGTTCCCTCTAGCTCTCCGGCTGCTTCTCTGATTGTTTGATTGGTCTGTGATTCCTTGGGGGGGGTGGGGTGGTGGTCAGGTGGGGCTGATCCCGGAGGGGATTTCGGAGATGGTCATTCCTGCTGTTTTTTGGCACGTCCCAAGCTGCCCTGTGACACTGGGCCTTCCCTGGGGGGGGGGGGCACAGACTTCATCCTGCCAACGCTGTGTGTGCCGAGCGTTCTGGGGACCGGTGTCATCTGCGCTGTTGTCATCATTCCACCTGAGTGAGGTCTTTCAGGGATGGGTCATCATGGTCCGGTCCCTTGGGAGTCTTGTGGCTGGTCTGGGTTTCATGGAGACTGGAACCCTGCTTCGACTAAAGAAGAAAAGGAAAGAAAGATCTGCTCATTCCTTGTGTGTCTGGGAAGACAAGGGCTGTGGCTTGCTTCTCGCTGAGTCCTCCGAGCCTAGCACAGAGCAGGGCAGGGTCACAGCGAAGGCAGCCCCTGCGGGGACAAGGCAGGACGGACGCTGGAAATACTGAGCCCAGCCTTCTGAGCTGGAGGAACAAGACTGATCAAAGAGGGTGGGGTGTGTCTGTTTGCCTGAACCACCAGTTCGATTTTTTTTTTTAAGTGAACTTTAAAAAAAGGTTACTTAAGTAATCAAAGCCATTCAACTTGTAGGTTGTGAAGCCCAGAGGTGGTGTTTTTTTGGTTTTTTTTTTCATTGTGGTAAAATACACATAACATAAAATTTACCATTTTAACCATTTTCAAGCATGTAGTTCAGTGGCGTTAAAGACATTCATACAATTGTGTGACCAGCACCACCATCAGGCTCCTGTACTTTTTCCATCATCCCAAACTGAGACAAAGTACACATTGAACAATATGTCAGTTAGAGTTTATGGCTTCACTGATGGCTTCATGTTGGTGAAAAGGGTTCCCATAGGAAATGGTGAGTGTCCCATCACTGGAGGCATGCAAGCCTAGACTGACTTGACTAGCAGAATGGCACCACCAGTCTATGACTGTGAACTTGTCCTTACCAGGTTTCTTTTGGAGGGTGAGACAAAAAGCCTTACCTGTTGCTAACTGAGATGAGAAGTTTTGCCAAGTGGGGGGGGGGGTTGTGTCCCAGGGGACATGATTTGACCTGCACTTTATCTGCGTTACAAGCTGCCCAATAATGAGGCTCCATTATATCTCACACATCCCCCAGTCTCGTCAGGCCAGTCTGGGTCCAGCCCCCAGATGCGGCAAGTTCATTCATGCTCCTGCCCATGCCTCGCCTTCCAGAAACGTCAAATAGCCCCCCTCCACTTCTGCAAGGAGTAGGAGAGTATGTAGTGTATGGTAATCAGAGGGATAATGTTGGTTTTCTACTCCACAGCCTCCCCCCTTCCCCTTGATGACAGACTCCCAAGCTGTTCAGGATTCAGATGAAAACATGCTCAGGGAAGGTGGGTCCAGGGCCAGGGCATGAACCAGGATTGGTCTAAGGTGTGGACGCTAAGCTATCTTGTGGTTAATGCCATTCCTCTTTGTCAGCACAGTCACAGAGGTGAATTCCCAGATGGAGGAATGACATGGTCAGGAGGTTTGAAGTGACTTGTTTTGAGCTGAGTCCTGAAGGGTGAGTTAGTTAACTGGGGGTCATTAGGGCAGTTCTAGAGGGAACAGCACATGCAAGGGCCCTGTGGTCAGAGTGTGAACCATTTGAGGTGTGAAAGCCAGCCTGTGTGTGTAGAGTGCAGAGATCTGGAATGTGGCAGGGCATAGACACCCCCTGACCCCCACCCCAAGGCCTGGGAGCCTAGCCTAGGAAGTGGGTCTCTAACCTGAGAGCAAGTGAAGGGTTTTAGGTGTGTGTGTGTGTGTGTGTGTGTGTGTGTGTGTGTGTGTGTGTGTGTGTTGGGGTTTGGTGTGGGGGTTTTAATGAAACCCGGTCAGATTAGCCTTTTGACATTTATTCTGGCTGCATGTGAGGAAGGCGTTGTGGGGAGGGCAGAGTTGATGCTTTAATCCCCTCGCTTCACGCCAAGTCCAAGTCTGAAGTCCTCTGAAGATCTCTCAGAGCCTGGATGCTGACGTTTTCACCACTTCCCCTGCCCCCACGGCTCCTGCTTCTTCCTCAGTGATTCTGCTGCTCCTGTGCTGACTCAGATGTGAAACTTTACCCCTTCTCCATTTACACAATCCTCCTCTTGACAAATACTTGTGAGCAGAGGATTTACTAAAGATCCTGAGGTCACAGAGACACTTTCACATGGCAACTGCGATAGGTCTGTTCTTCCGGACCTTTTGGGGATACCCTGTTCCCTCCCCTCCCTGGGTCTTCCCTGCATCCTCAGCTTCCCCTCCCCTCTTGCAGGTGGTTTCGGAAACCGGGGATTCCCTGTCACAGGCAAAGCGGTTCCAGTCTCCCCAGCCTCCCATCCCCACGCTTACACATCCGAGTCATCGTTCACAAACCTGAAGGTGTCATCGGTTCATTTTCTCCCACCGCTGCCTTCCTCCAGGCCCAGCCTCCCAACCGCAGCCTTTGTGATGCCTCAGGCAGTTTTGCTAACTTCCTGGTCACTTTCACAAACATGACAAAGTCCCTTCCCAAGCTCATCCTCCTCGGTTTGACATCCCCCCTGGCCCACCCCCCACCTGCTCCTCCGGGGCCTTGCTGGAGGGGCATGGGGGTGGAGTGCCTGCTCCTTCGCCCCCCTTGGCTCTGTCCCCCTCTGGGTCCCTTTCTTGTCTGGTGGGCTGTGGCAGGGAGGAGGGAGATGGAGGGGCCTCTCATCAGCGGGTGCCACCCTGGTTCTTGCTGCGTGACACCCCTCTCTGGCGGGCCCTTGATGTCCTCTGTGTGGCAGGTGTCCATGCAGGCTCTGGATGGACTGGGGTTGGGGGGTGGGGAGTGGAAGAAGGGATGGCTCCATCTGCATCTGTGCTGGATGAACGCACCTGGACTAGGGGTTAATGGACCTCAGGGCAGGATGAACGAGGGAGGGAGGTGGGGCTGGAAGGGAATGCTCTGGCTGGCTCAGCCAAGGGGCTCGACCACCGCCCCCCGGCCCCCCAGCTCTGCTGCAGCATCGGGAGACACCCCAACGCTGTCTGCCCTTGACCCTCAGCCGGTCAACCACGGCCAGGGCCACGGCCACGGCTGAAGGGCTGGTGGGACAGTAACTGGGGGGCGAGGGAGGGAGAGGGGCTTCCTGCTGGAAGTTGGGAGGCTAAAAGCCAAGATCCCCAAGTGCCGGGGAGGGCGGGGCCAAGGGGAGAGAACCAGTAGCTCATCTGAGAGTCAAGGCGCCCACCCTAGAGCCAGGTTTGCAGAGTGGAGGGACCAGTGCAGAGGCCAGGGTGGTCCGGACAGGTGGTGTGCAGCCATGGTGGTGCCCCGGCCAGGGTGAGCCCAGCTGTCCTCGGCTCCTGCCAGTGTGGGTCAGGGTTCTGGGTGGGTAGGTCCCAGCGGGGCTGGACGAACAGGCCGGGCAGTTAGTTCCCAGGGACAAGGTGGCCTGGAATGCTCTGGCTGGAAGGAGAAACTGCCCGGTGAGCCACGCAGGACACACAGTCCAATGACGATGCATACTGGAAAAGAAAAATATATTAATTCCTCCACGCATTGTAAAATGTTTTACAGACAACAAAACCAAAACGGACAAGAAAATTTCCAAATCCAGGGTCCTTGGTGGAGAAGTTTATACCCCGCTGGGCCGGTTGGTCTCTGGGGTGTAACATTCTGGAGGAACCTGGTGCAGGGGGAGGTGCCAAGGGGGGTTTCTGCACAGCGACTTCCAGGGCCCTTAGCCCCCCTTCCTGCTAGGCGGGTCCAGTGGGAGGTCTGCACTCTAGTCCTGCCTCCCTGCAGGTGGCCAGGAAGCTTCTCCAGACTCCATGGTGCCGGGTGCAGCCCCGCATGGGGGTGCAGTCCCGCCCCCCAGCTTAGGACCCCACCCGCATTTGCCTGTGCAAGCGCGCGCGCGCACACACACACACACACACACACACACACACACACACTGTGCCTTTGCTGGCTCCAAAGCAGCCCCAGCCCTGGAATAAACTGCACCTCATCCCTACTCCTGCAAGGACTCTTTCTCCCCAGAAAAGAGCACTCAACAAGGCCTGTCCACTTCCCAGCTGTGTGACCTTGCTCTGGTCGGCTGACCCTCCGGAGCCTTACTTTTCTCCTCTTTAAAATGAAGAGTCCTTTTCTTTCCGTCTCAGGAGTGGCAAGGGCAGGGTCCCACCACCTCAAGTGCATCCCAAGGGCAGGGAGCATCAACAGCCCCCTGGCCCTCCTCCTCAGTGGGCCAGCTGCTTCCCCTTTCTGGGGGCTAGCTTGGGGTGGGGCCAGGGGTTGGGTGCAAGCGTGTTCCCAGCTTGGGTTTCACTTCCCTCCTGCCTCCGAGAGAGTGGGCCAAGCTCCCCAGTGGGCACCCCGCATGCTGCCGAGGGGGGATTGCCCAGGGGCCTTGTCACTCAGAACCCCCCCCCCTCACCTCCCACGCCTGCTGCTGGCCTGCCCGGCAGGTGGTTCCCCAGCCTGACCCAGGAGCCCCAGGCCAGGCTGGAACAAGGTAGCCTCCAGCCACCTTGCACTGGGTGGGGAGGCAGCGTGGTGCTGAGGCAGGCCCCTCCCTTCCCTGGGCCTCTGCTTCCCTGGCTGTGACTCTTATGACCAGGGATTTGCGGCCTGGGTAGGGGTGGACTTCTCCCCGGTGTCAGCCAAGCGCAGAGGTGCAGCGTGAGCATGGAGCGAGGCTGGACAGTGGGGGCGAGAGGAATGGGGCAGGGAGTGGCCTAGGGCAGGGGCAGGGAGAGGCCAGGGCCCTGAGTCAGAGGAGAGGGGGGAGGATGCTTCCCCGAGTGGGACCCTGCCCCGGAGCGGGCAGGAGCGAACCCTGCAGACTCACGGTCTTGGGTCTGCTCTAAGACGTACACTGGGTGGCGTGGGGACCAGGACAGCCCATAGCCCAGGCTCCATCTGGGCACCTGTGACCTTTCCTCTACTCTCCCAACCCTGGTCTGCCCTTGGCCCCAGTGGCGGCTCCTTCCTGGGCTCTCAAGGCCAATTTGGCCCAAGGATGGACCTTCGAGGCAGCCTCACACCTGTCCCAGGGGAGGGGGGCAGGGGAGTGGAGGTGGGTGTTCCGCGGGCTCACCCTTCCGCAGAGCCCGTGGCCCCGTGCCGAGCAGGTGGGCCTGGGAGAATGGCCGGGTTCCGGAGGGCCCCGGTTTATCTGGCCGGGCTGGGCTGACGGTGTCCCACCCCTGATTTAATCTGTGAAGTCCTCGCCCCCAGGACTCCAGAATGTGACTGTATTTGGAGATGGGCCTTGAAAGAGGGGATCACGGTTAACTGAGGTCATGAGGGTGGGCCCTGACCTGACCTGGCCGGACATCAGGACACTGCACACACGGGGACCGTGGGGTCGAAGGGAGGAGGCGGCCCGCAGGGCGGACACACACACCTTGCTGTGGTGGAAGCCCCTCAGCCTGTGGTGGAAGCCCCTCAGCCTGTGGTGCTTTGTGAGGACGGTCCTACTTAACACGCCGACAACGCAGGGCTTTGGGGGGCTGTCTGACACAGGAGGTAGGCAGGGGCAGTTTGGGGGTGGAAATTCCAGAACCGCACAAACGTTCGGATGGTTTGTGGAGACAGTGGAGACGTGGACGTCACTTCAGAGAGGCTTCCTCGGACCATCCTTCTTAGAAGCAAACGCCCTCGGCGTCCTCCTTCTGCTCCTGACCCAACAGTGGGTTGGAAGCCAGTAGATGGGGATGGGGCCCGGCAAGGCAGGAGGGGTGCCAGGTGGGCTGCCGCAGCCTGGAGTGGGGTGCTGGGGCCTGCGCAGGGTGAGGAGGGGTCTGAGCAGGGGCTCCGGGGGGTCCAAGCAAGGAGAGGAGGACACCTGCGGGGCAGGGCAGTGGGGGCAGCGGGGGTGGGGGGCCAGGCTCCTCCCTGTTGAAGGAAGCGACAGACAGGGAAGGGAAGGCCCGGAGGAATCCCGCGTGGCTGGATTGTAATCAGAGAGACCGGTGTGAACGCGTGCGTTTCTGCTCGCACAGGCAAGCACCATCTGATCTGCACGCCCCGTCCAGCGGGAAGCGCGGGGCCAGAGCGCCCCGTGCTTTGTAGGAGGCACCGGCAGAGGACAGGCCTGTTTGCTGCCCACCCCCCCTCCCCGTTTGTCTCGTTCAATCCTTCCCATAACCCTGTGAGTCGGACGGAATGAAAGGGCTGAGGTCCCTTGTCCAGACCCACAGAGGATCCTTCCCACCGGAGCTCCCAGCCCCGCACCAGTCAGAGTGTGTCTGGGGGCCGGAGGCAGAGGGCAAGGGAGTTTGTGTGGTTTGGATTCGGGGACAAGGACCCTTGTGCGGTGGCGCTGAGGGCGGGGAGGGCAGTGCTGGAACTGGCAGCCACCTCGCCCTTCTCGGGGTCAACACCGGGACGAAAGGGGTCGCCTTGGCGGCGGTGGACCCTGTCCCCACTTGCTGCTGGTGCGTGCGGCGCTGCTGCCATCTCGTGGTCACCCTGGGACACTGCACTGAGCCCCTGTCACCAGAGCGGGGGAGGGCTCTGCAAACCACACACGGTCCGCTGAGCATGCACGGCCACCTGGGGCGGCAGCCCCGGCCCGGGAGCGGCACAAAGGCACTGTCTCAGGAACTGGGCTTGTCCTGGAGGCAGCGAGCGAGCACCCTGGAGAGCTGGGGTCCCTGAAATGACCCAGGAGCCCGAAGGCCAGTGCCCCTGGCGGGGTGTCGGGAGCAGAGGCTGTTCCGGATGCAAGGGGTACCACCTGTGGCAGGACGCGGGGGGTATCTTCTTGACAGGGGATGGGCCACTTGTCGTCTCAGTGAATCCTTACCACAGCCCCCTGAAGGAGCATCCGCTACAGTCCATTTTATAAGTGAGGAAACGGAGGCAGAGAGAGGCTACTAATTTGCCTAAGGTCACAGAGCTCTGGAGCGGCCCGGCCCGATCTGCGGTGAGGACAGTTGGCGAGGCTGGAGGCGCACACTCGGCTGGGGGACAGGTGGGGAGGTCAGTGTCTAAGCCCAGGGCGGGGTTCTGGAGGCTCAGGGAGGCCGGGAGGGAGTGCAGCGGCTGGAGGCTCTGCCCGTAGCTCTGGGGCGTGCTTCCCACGGCCCCCAGGGGCTGCCGGCAGGGCTCCATTCAACTTCTCCGTGTCCCTGGCCTGGTGCCACCTTCCGAGGCAGCTGGGCCCCAGCAGCAGCAGCTGGTGCCTCATTAATCCTGTCCCACCGCCCTGGGGCCCCCGCCGGCTGCTGGTCCTCTCTCCTGGGGGGCCGTGCGACTTCCGGCTGCTGCCGCGGGGGGGGGGAGGCTGCCCTGAGGAGGGGGGTCCCCCCAGTGCTGCCCCCTGAAGGGGGAGCCCAGAGGCCCTCCTGCCGGGCCCTGCCACGGGCCCGGGCTCACCTGTCCAG